CATCTCAAGTAGTTATGCTAGCCCGGTGGTTTTATGTAAGAAAAACAATGACTATCCATTAACACATCCAAAAAGGTGGCGTTTCGCGATTGACTATCGTAAATTAAACTCCATAACTAAATATCCGGTATATCCGTTACCTATTATTGAAGAAATTCTAAGGAACATAACATCTACCAAATATATGACGACTTTAGACTTAACGACTGGTTATTTTCAAATAGGGGTTAGACCGGAGGACGTGCCTAAGACTGCTTTTATAACCAAGTCTGGCACTTATGCATTCCTGCGTATGCCGTTTGGCCTTTCAGGGGCACCGGCAACATTTCAGCGATGTATGGACATTGTGCTAAGGCCTGTTCTTGGAAAGTCCACATTTATCTATTTAGACGATATCATTATTACTAGTGATAATCTGGACCAACATGTACAGGATTTAAGACAGGTGTTTTCATTATTAAATGAGGCCGGTCTAAAAGTTAATGTCGAAAAGTGCAAATTTGCAGCCCCTGAATTAAAATACTTAGGTTACAAAATATCTCAGAAAGGAATCGAGACAGACGAATCAAAAATAATCGCTGTGCAAAAGTATCCACGCCAAATACGGCGAAGAAGCTCTCTTCTTTTCTAGGACTTTGTTCATATTATAGGTCCTTTATAAAAGATTTTGCAGCTATTGCTGAACCATTGTTAAAATTAAAAAGGAAAAAAACAAGATTCTCGTGGACGGCCGAAGCCAATAGTGTTTTCGAAAAATTAAAGCAAGCATTAACGCAAGCTCCTGTGTTGAAATTTCCTGAAAAGGATGAGAATTTAGAAATTTCAGCGGATGCTTCGGATTATGCGGTAGGAGCGGTACTTTCGCAAAATCAGCAGCCCGTGGCATTTTTTAGTCGAACTTTAAATCAAAAACAAAGAAATTATTCCGCGACCGAGAGAGAGGCACTTGCAGTTCTGTTAGCAGTGCAAAATTTCCGAGTCTATTTTGGAAGGGCGCCAGTAACAGTGTATTCTGATCATGCGGCGGTAACTAGATTGTACTCAGGGAAAAAACTTATCCCCAAGGTTAATAAGATGGGCACTCAAGCTACAAGAATATAATCTGGTAATCAAGCATACCCCCGGAAAGGAAAATATCGTAGCAGCAGATGCCCTATCCAGAATAAAATAGATGAAGAAGGTAATACTGCAAAGGTGGCAATGCTCACAGCATGTACAATAAATTCCCGAGAAACTGTAATAACCGAACTGGGTAAGGATCCTGAGTTTGGAAACATTTATGAGTATTTAAAGGATCCTGAAAATTTTAGCCACCAAGATATTGTGGCGATAAGAAATAGGGCGGCCCATTACGAACTAATAGATGGTCTATTATTTTATACAAAAACTACAAATTCCAACAACGAATTTCGACCTGTTATCCCAGCTAGTCTTAGATTAAATATCCTGCAGGAGTTACATGACAGCCCTTTAGCTTCTCATGCTGGTATTCAAAAAACTATCCAACGCGTACGCGAGGCAGTCTATTTTCCTGAACTGCAAAAGTTAACAAGGGCGTATGTCCAGTCCTGCCCAACATGTCAAGCAGTTAATTATATTAATTTCCGCCCGGCCGGGTTTCTAAATAGTATTAAATCCGAATTTCCAAATGAAATAATTGGCATCGATTTATTGGGCCCTTTCCCAAAAAGTCAGTTAAATAAAAGTCGCTATCTCCTTGTTATGGTTGATCATTTTAGTAAGTGGACCGAAATTGTTCCCTTAAAACGAGCCTCCGCGAAATTAGTTACTGATTCTATTTTAAATAAATATATTTTAAAAATACGGGGCGCCCCTAAAAGTTATATCGGATAATGGTCCTCAATTTGTAAGTAATATATTTGAAGACATGTGCCAAAAAACTGGGCATACGTCATTTAAAAATGGTCCCGTATCGGCCGCAATCAAATATAGCGGAACGGGTCAATAGAAATATAGTGAAAATTATCCGTAGTTATGTTAAAAATTTTCATAAAAGCTGGGATAACTATGTCAATGAATTTGCTTTCGCCCTTAGGACCGCAAAAACATGATACAACGGGCAAAACTCCTGCTGAGTTATTTTTAGGCAGAAAGATTATAACGCCGTTAGATAAATTATTTTTATGTTCAACAAAGAGCCCCAGAATTTAAAATGGGTGATATAGAAAAATTAATTAAAGAAGCAAAAAAGAACACTGAAGTAGCACAGAGAAAACAGAAGCTGTATTATGATATGAAACGACGGGGAGTAACTTATAAAGTAGGAGATGAAGTATTAAAAATTAAAAATTAAGCATTCACTTTCTTCAGCACCAGAAGATAAAACGCCAAATTTTTTCCACGATTTGAAGGACCATATGTCATAGAAAAAATAACTCACGCTGTAGTGGTGTGTTAAAAGCCAGGAATGGTGAAAAACATGCTCCGCAAACATTGACCAAATAAAACCATACTATGACCGTAATAAAATGCAAATATTTAAAGATCTTTTGCAGGATCCGGCACGGCAGGCACGCAGGCACAAGCTCCAGAGGTGGAACAACGACAAGTACAAGGGCAAGCCATTAGGAGGCAGGAGCAAGTGAAAAGAAAGTTTCCCCGTTGGAAAATTGAAGGTAACAAGAAAAAGAAGCCGTTCCACCGACCAGAAAAGAGAGCTCACGACCACCCCCAGAATGAAGAAGGGAGAAGTACGACGAATGCAAAGAGAGCCAGGAGAAATAACGGCAACTATATAACCCGGCTCCCAAACGGAAGATCTACTCATCGGACAGGACTCTACGCAGCAAATGTCGCCGAACTGCGGAAAGGCCACCAGCGGCGGAGGAAAAGATACAAGGAAAATTTGAACGGCCAGCAACGAGATCCAAGCAGGAACGAGAGAGAAGTGTCCCGGTTCCGCCAAGACCAGCGGCCATCAAACGGCCAAGACCACAGGCAGAGGCGGAAAAGGAAAAAAAGAAGGTATTCAAGGGTGACCGAACTGGAGGGAAAAGAAAGCTCCTAGAGGAAGGAACTGAAGGGCGAGCCCGCACAAGAAGGAGGATAAATCAAACACGAATCTTCGCTACCTTCCAGGACTGGGCAGAGAAAAGAATGTCCGAATATCACAAAGATAAGTAAAATTTTATGTTACTTTGCAAACTTAAGTTAATCTTTCATTCTTACTGCAAGTGGCAGATTTCAAGACGTTTTACCTCATGTGAGGTCTACCTTTATCGCCAAAAAGGCGAGAAATGAGTTGTTACCTATTTTGGTATTATGTTTTTCAATTACTCGCGAGTAAAACTAAAGTTGATGTATAATAGGAATGTGTAAATACTTGAATATTGTAAAAGTTATTGTATATAAATTTTATTTAAAACATTCTGGCAAGAAGAAGTTTTAGTCTGAAAGACTTTTGAAATGTAGTATTTCAATGTAGAAGAATTGGCACTTGCTTGGAAAAGAATAGAAGTTAACAATGTACTACTAATGTATGTTTTAAAATGCGTAAAATTAACGGCATGTTAATATGTTCTTATATACAATGTGAACTGTTATTTTAAATGTTAAGAAATACTGTGATATGGTAAAAGTGAAAGTAATGCCAAAAATTTTAAACTTATTCGTGTGACTGAAAAAAAAAAAAAAAAAAAAAAAAAAGAGAGAAAGATTGTGAATATGTGAAAAAAAGGTGAAAAAAGGTTGAATGAATGTAGTTAGGCTCTCTGACGCTACACTTCAGAGTTAGCCACTTTCAGAATAGTACCTCAGGGTTTAGAGTTGAAGATAAGGTGTGTTACGAGGTCTTGTTATGTTGAATTTTAACACGTTAGTGTTTTGATTGTAGGCGGCAGTGTTGAACACTTGTACATAAACACATTCGTGTTTGGTGTTTTCTTTTACAACACATGTCAGAGAGCACGGGGAGAGATAATTAAATAAAGTCATGAATGAAATAAGAATGTTAAGAGAAATATAAATATTCATGTTACTTGCCATTTCATTGTGTAACATTTCATTAAACTAGTTTTCCTTCCATCTCTGGAAGGAACCAGATTTCAACTAAAAGCTCCTGTTTAGATGCAGTACAGATGAAAAGTAATTGTCCATGGAGCTGATAATGTAAAAAAAAACAAATTTTTTTTTAAAATTTCTAGTTTCTAGTGAGAAATGTTTGTAAAAGATTGGCCTCGTGTTAGATTCTAGAGCTAAAAGTTTTCAACAAGGTCGTTTTAGACCTGAGTTTCAAACTAATTAACTCTGGCGGGAAGTATGTAAGGATCTTAAGTTTTACTAACGTTTATTTTATTTTAAATCTTTACTATCACTTCTTATTTTCTACTTCCGGCCAGAATTAAAAGCTTTAACTTATTTATGCAAATTTGTCTGGCGAACGCCAAGTACTACTTAAGTTGTGGCTTTTTGCCAAGCGAGAGAGAGGAAGGAGTTAGTAGAAGCAGGCCGCTTGCCTTAGCAGTTTTTACTCGGTTGCTGGTTGCCTTCCAGGCCAGAGGTTTAATCCTCTTAATAATTTTAAACGTATTGTAGTGTTAACAGTTCTCTGTACTACATACGGCTTCCTGTTAATATACGGCCAATCTTCCACGTAGGCCCTTGTTTATTATTCCAAAGTTAAGTTAGAGTTTAGTTAATATTTTTATATTCTTACGTTCAGACCACAAGTGGTTGGTCTCTGTATTCCGAAGTCCGGAAATTATTGTAAAGAGTGAAAAATAAAGGGTTTCGTATACCCTTCCTGTGTATCTTGTCTACTTCCCACATTTATTGAACATAGCTTTAGTAAGCTCCCTGTTCCGAGTCAGGTTCTTGAATGTTGCCCAAGCAAGTAAGGCGGAACACTGAACCTGATAGTATTACAGGAAGATAAAAAGAATGAAGTCATTTTCAGCCAAACGAACTACGCCAAACTGCTTATCTATTTATTTATATACATTATTTTTGCAAAACATTGCTTTTTCTAATCATATAAATCAGTACTACAATAACAGCACTTATTAATATAATTGTTTTTAAAAATTCGTTATAAAGGTTATTTTTTAAAAATATCAATAGTCGCAGTAAAACTTACCTGTCCTCCTCAACAATATGAATCTATTCAGATCTAAATGTAAATGAGGCTGAACTGATTTCTGAGAAAAACACATACTTAATTAAAAAGTATGAAACATTAAACTAATTAATTTTGATATAAAATCCACATAAATTTCACTTTCACTCTTCCTGTAGCTACGTGTAGTACGTAACTATAATATTAAAAGTTACATAATAAAATGTAAAGGAATTACTAAATACGCACCCGACATCATTATCTGTAGAACCGTCGTTTTCTCTGAAAACCGTTTGATAGCAACATGAGTAGTTGTCCTTAACAAATTTTTCAATAGCTTTTACATCCAAAATCAGTAGATTACCTTCTGTTTTCGTCAAAGGTTCATAATCTTCCTAATAAAGTAAGATGATTAATTTACATGTAGTTAGGAGCAAATATATAATGTATAAATAAAGTAAATATTGTTTGTTTTCGTATTTTTTCTTCGAACTCTTTTACATATCACAAAGAAGAAAAAAAAAAAAAAAAAAAAACCTTTTACGAACGAAATGCAACAATATAAAATAAAAATTGGTATTAAATTAAGATTTATCTTTGGAAGTTAACAGCATATTCTAAAGTGACTCTGGGAATAGGTGAAAACCAGTTAGTCCTTTTTCTTGTAAAAGAGACGCAAATATCATAATGTGAAGACAATCCAACTATACTCAAGGTGCTCTCGTTTTCAAAAGAGATAGAATGAGGTTCTTTTGTGAATGTTAAATACAACTTCATTTGAAGCGTTGTCACCTAGAATGTAAGGGGAATATCTTAGTCTCTCTAGTCCAACGGCAGCACTTACTGATCTGTACCACAGCCGCGGAAGCTCTAAGGTTAGGTGATCTCACGTCACGAACTCCGTCTGCTCAAAGAACGTGTATACGACATCATGCCTAGAACCTGTATGTTGGCTGTCGATACTGTCGATGAAGTTCTTTATACGTATAAATCGTTAAAATGGAACTTTGAAATTGTTTTATTTCTCATTAGCATTTGCCTTTCAATAAAGCCAAATCGATGCTGAGTTTCAGGATGTCAAATTATGACACAGGTGATGCAGACATTTCCGTACGCAAATTATCTAAATGCGCTGGTAAGAAGTGAACTGGTGCAAGAAAACTCCACAGAAAAAATTGGTTGCTATCTGCAAGAAGTGTATTTATTGCGTTTGAATCGGATACGATAAAAATTGATGAAATACTAGAAAGAGATCTCACTATGTTAAAAATACCAAGAAGATGCCCGAAACTTTAAAAAAAAATCCATTTATATTTTCTAACTGGCCCAAATATATGACAGAAAAAAAAAACCTATTGCAAAAGCAAGTAGATACAGAAATCTACCAAAATTAGACAACCTCTCTTTTCAGCAATTTATAGATAAAGATCAAATCAAACGTTTTATTGATTTTTATCAAAACTTAGAACAGCAGGTAAAATCATTCAAGTTGATTTCAAAACCAAATGTAATTAAAAATAAAGAGCATGTATTTTTTGTGAATTTAAATTTATTATTAGCACCAAGCACAGAATAATAATATCAGTTCAAATATTTTTTTCAGTGATACATCTTACTGTTGCTACATCTTACTTCAAAAATATTCTACATAATTCACAAAATAATCCTTTATGATGAATTGAAATGGGAAATATATTAAGTTTCATTAAAAGTATACAGAAAGATAATTTCAATGAAGCGCTTTCTAGTGAAAGTCTTGCGTATTATTGGAAAAAAAAATATTTCTCCAGATGAAGATATATATGATAGAAAATTCATTTTATAGCAAATAATCTTGTGTGATAAATTTAAAAATGGCTCAAAGGTATGTACAGCAGTGAACTTTAAGTTTTTGCATATTTTTTATAAGTGATATTATTTGCAAGTTATTCTTGACTATATGGTATTAGTTTATTGTCAATGCCTTTGATCGACCATTTAATTAAAATGACGAATATTCTGAATCTTGTTGTGTCGCAAATTTTAATTGTACTTATGTAATTTAAATAATCACTATTTAGGCTTTTATTTTACTGAAGTTGTTGTGAACAGAGTAGTGGATATTTTTTTTAGCAGCTAAAATCTTTAGCTGTATTTATTTTTCGATGCTTAGACTTTCTCACAAAACAGGGACCGGTTTTTCGGAAACTGTCAAGTAGAAAAAACAGAAAGGTAAATTTTAAAGTTGCTTTTGCAAATTTTTAATTTAATCTTATTGTGAATCATTGATAACACTGAGACTACTGCTGCCGAATACATAAATTAAAATAAACATTTGTTCTATCTGAAATCTCGACACTGGTGAGACAGAATGAGAAATTATCACAGAATTATTACAGAAATGAGATAATATCCTTCATCACCTTTATATAATAAATAAAAGGGAAGAAACAACTCCATTTTCAAAATCAAAAGCACTATCTCTCTTTAAAATAAAACTATATCCTCTGAAGTTCCTGAAAACACATGAATCTCAATACGATGATTCCTAAACTCAAGAGTAGCCAGAAACTACAAACACGGAAGACTTCAAAACACTATCGAAGGATTAACCAAAGAAGTAAGAGTTCAATCACCAGTTGAAATAAAATTATTCATCCGATCGTATAGTTCAAATACATATAAAATTAATTTCGCTACTACACATCCTCAATAAAATTACCCAGGTTCGTTTTGAAAGAATCCATGCTTTCCTTAATGATCACATAGGGGACATGAGTAGACTATTAAAATAAACATAAGCAAAAATTACAAATAAAACACATTTACTAATGAAGGATCAGTATATATTAAGATAGCTGGCCAGACTACCCCTACATTAAATTGGTTAAATAACATTTCCAATTATTCCTAAAATTCATGGGAAAAGAGAATTGCCTACATAAGCATAATACATTAGTGTACAATATTTTGTTTGATGCTTGAAAGATATTCGCTTTTCTTAACTAAACTTCATTTGAATTTAACCCTTAAAATCTCACATATTCAAATGTTTCTACAGGATACCAATGCTGAAGATCATTTGATCATTTTCAATGCTTACAAATCATTTTCAAATATTGCAAGAAATTACAAGTAACCAAATTATCTTTTCATTCATAAATTTTAAAATAACCTAGTACAAACAAGTTCTCTGTATTTAAAATTTTTAAATACCATTTCTACCAATTAACTTAAGATAAAATAAAATGATCATAACAAGATAAACAGATACACTAGAAAGTAGTGGAAAGAAAACTCACATACTGGGTCGTATAAAAAGTCTCCGCCGTTTTTGGCCAGTAGATGGTGTTGATGCCTATATATCCGGCAACACTCACCCGATTGTTTCAAATGAGCATGTGCTTAAAAGGTGACATTCAGCTTCCATTGTTTGTGAAGATAATTTTCTAATTCGTTGTTTGTGTAAAAAGTTACAGTGATTTGAAGATGGGTGAAATATCTTAAGAAATACGCTATGTGATGCTTTTTTACTATAAAAAAGGTAAAAACGCTGCAAAAACATCCAGAAAAATTTAGAAAGTCTACGGTGAGAATGTTGCGAGTGAACGAAAGCCCCATAAATGGTTTGCTCGATTCCGTTCGGAAAATTTTGATGTCAAAGGTACACCTTGCTTTGGTCAAATACTGGCGAAACCATCAATTCGGCCCTGTACTGTGCACAACTCGACCGTTTGAACGACGCAATCCGGAAAGAGCGACCAGAATTGGCCAACAAAACGGAAGTTGTATTCGATGTATTATAACTGTTCGCGCCTGCGCATCTGTAATGTAATCCACGCATGCGCATCTGTAATGTGATGATCAAAGGAGTTTGAGAATCGCCATCGACGGTGTAAGAGGGATGGTCACACCTATGAGTTAATGAGTGATTGTAATTAATTATGAGAATTAATAAAGAATCGAACCAGCGAATTTATTTAGTGTGTGTTATTTGGGACGAGACCCAAACATATCTGGTCGTAGTCGACCGGAGCGTGAGTAAATAGTGTTTCGTTTTTGAGAACACAGGAGTGTTTGTGTTTGCCAATATTCCCAGCTTGTTCTTTTCAACGAATATCGCTGATTTTGGATACGGATATTCATCAAAAGTGAATCACTGCAGAGGTAAGTGATTCCTCTCTTGTTAATTCTGTACTTTCTGTGCTTGTTCTGTTATAAATAACAATGTTATTTAAGGGTGCTAAAAAAGAAAATTTAAGGCTTATTGCCTTAGAAATAAATCTAAATGTTGACGAAAAAATGACTATAGCAGATTTGACTGATATTGAGAATAGTGAAATTTTTAAAACTAAACAAGATTTAGTAAAAGAGATAGCAAACTCTATTATCGAAAATAGAAAACAGGAAGAGCAAAAACTTGTCGAGTTAGAAAAAATAAAACTTGAGAGATCAAAGAATGAGTTAGAGTTGGCTAAACTTAAAGCAGAAACTAAACTTGATGGTGTAAGCGAAACCGAAACAAAATCAGAGTCATTAGATCAATTAATAAAAAGTATCAGAACCTTAACTGTAAAAATTCCTATACGGCCTGAGAGTTGGGGATTTTTCTTTTCGTCATTAGAACGAGCGTTTATTACAAAAAAAAAATGTTTCGGAGGACTATAAAGCAGAAATTCTGTTAAATCTGTTAGGAGACAAAGCTTCGAATATAATAACCTATTTACATGATAAGGATATCGCGAATTATGAAAAAGTAAAAGAAGTAGTTCTGAAGGAGTTTCAGCCAACACCATATTCCTGTTTAGAAAACTTTAGAAAAACTGTTAAACAACCACATGAAACTCATGTGCAGTTTGCTTCTCGCTTAATAACTGCCTGGGATTATTATTTAAAATTAAGGAAGGTAACTGACTTCGAGACCCTCAAACAACTAATAGTTTCAGATAGGTTATACCAATCTTTAGATACGGGAACAGCTTCTCACATTACTGTGAGGCAAGGTGATTCATGGTTTTCACCTAGTGAGTTAGGTAAAGAAATAGATTTATATTTCACGTCACGAGGAAAACCTCTTACTGAGAATTCTCATGTTAATCGTAAGTATAATAGCTCAAAAAGTGTAGCTAAAGTGTTTTTATCAGACGTTAAAACAGAGAACTGTATTTTATGCCACGAGAATCACGGATTGGAAAAATGCCCATCGTATTTAAAATTACCGGTACAAGAAAGAGTACAGGTTGTGAAATCTAATAAATTATGTTTTAACTGTCTACACATGCATTCAGTATCAAATTGCCCATCGAAATATTCTTGTTTTTGTCAAAAACGGCACCACAAAACTATTCACTTTCCGAAAGCAAATAATTTCGTAAAGGAGAAAGAATGTTCTTCATCGGAACAAAATAAAAACAAA